AACCCGATTCACTTTGGTGAGTGACTCATTAAAACTCGATTCAGTAAAAGGAATCAAATTTACCATCACTAAAAGGTATAGTAATCATCCGCAACTGAAAGTAGTTGTGGATGATTAAAGGATACAGAAAGTTTATTCATGCAGGCCTATATGACAGAGAATATGCATCTTCTTTTTGTATTCATATTTTAATTTATATTTAATTGTGTTGTGGTTTGCAGTGTTTTGTGTTGTTTCACTTTAAATTTGTTTAAAAGGAAAAAGCTGAAAATTTAAATAGTTAAAAGTGGAAATGTGAATAGTTGGTTTTTGTATTATATGATTTATTTATTACATTTTATGTGGAGTGAATAAATAAAAGTATATTTACGGTGGCCCCTAGAAACAAAGCACGTACAAACTCCAAAACACGTATAAACTCCGAAGCACGTACCAACTCCAAGCAAGTACCAACGACCGGATTTGGTGTGTGGTAGTAACAGGTAAATGAACTTTTTTTTTTTTAATTATTTGAATATATATGAGTCCTTGTGTATAAATACACAAACAATACACATATGCTTTCAATTGTGTAATTTAAGTGATCTAGGTAGCTCTGTTTTGGAAGTTCAGTTAACGCTAGAAATGTGTTTTGGAGTTTGTAGTGCTTTGTCTCTAGGGGCCATTGCATATATTTATATATAAACATATATAAATAAAAACATATATGTAAAAAAACTTTTTTTACATTAGTAATTCCTTTTGTGCATAATTTTATATTGTTGTTAATAATAAATTAATTAAAGCAACAAAACAACCTAAAGAGCCAGTTCAGAGCCGAAAGAGCCGGCTCTTTTTAGTGAGCCGAGCCAAAAGAGCCGGTTCTCTAAAAAGAGCCGGAAATCCCATCACTAATCTACAGTGATGTTAAATGGAGAGGGAAGGCAATCATGTCTGAAAAGCTGCAACCATGACATACACACCCCTCGCCAAAGAATGATTATCCTTTAAAACAGAGGAAATAAAATATCTTAATTACTGTGTTCAATACACATTTTGCAGATTATGTTTTACATTCAGTTACAGTAGGATATCTTAACTATCACATGCTTTTTATCCTTTTACAAAATAAAAAAAAAGTCATGTTGTAAAGCAGTGATAAAACGATAGAAGTCAGAGCTCAGCTGCAGTCCCAGCCAATCAGCTCGTTTCAGTCTAAGGTCATCCCATATTAGTCGATGGCTCGGCTCATACTTTTCTACACATTCAATTGGCAAATATCATACGGGGCACGCTAGTTAACCTGCTCTAGACATCAGCTGAGCAAGCCGCTTTGCAACCCACCTCTGCCCTCCTCTTTTCATCCTTTTTTTGACCTAATTTATACGAGAACTGTTGTCACTGATGCCAGCTGTGCTCTGTGCTTTGGTCTTGCTGCTGCCAAAAAGAAATCGACAGAAATAGCAGTGTTTAAACCTTAAATATCAACATAACAGGATTATCATAACTATGTAATATTTCTTTTTGTATAATATGCCAATTGTAAACAAACATATAAAAGAATCTGCCAAATAACAATATAAATAATATTATTATCATTTTTTATTCTGGCAGCTCTAATTTTATAACAATCTTCTGTTGACTACAGCTGTCCTGACTGAGCCTGAATTTAATGAAAACCATAAGATAGAGAGCTTAACCTCCTTAACTCTTCCACGGCATGCATTTTTAATTTCTCTTTGATATTTAGGCATATTGGGGCCCGATAAATGTAAAAACAAAGAATTACCAGATTTTTTTTTTATCTTATTTTTGTTTTTATGAAAAATCAGAGCCACATATGAGGATATGAGAACAGTAGCAGTATAATGTCCTCGTAAATGGATATCAGGCCCTTGAAGAGTAAAATTTAGTATTTTGGTCTAAATAACCCAAAATGTGATGTCCACATATGTGGACGCCAGGTCCTAGGAGGTTAAGATTTAAAAAAGAAAAAACGTTTTCTGTTCTGCTAGGTCCTTGGTATAAATCTTCCACCTTCGTGTTCTCCACAGAGGAATGTGACGCCTCCTGAGGTCAAATGTCAGAATTAATTCCAGGAAGAGACTCAGTTTTACATTCCGGCTTGAATTTTCTTTCTTTATAAGATGCACGTCCACTTTCAGCCTGTTAGAACGGACTCCAGTCTAGACGTCTTTTAAATCACTACCAAATGCTTTTCCACTGGGGCTTTGCCAAAAGCTCCTCTAAGGTCATGGAATTTACGCTCATGTTTGGAGCACAGTCTCACTGTAAAGCACACCATTTTGGTTTAAAGCGTGTTTCAGTGAACCAGACTAATGTTACTGCAGTAATGGGCCATTTATGACCTCTAGGGCCTGCTCCTCTGGCCTGGCCTGGGTGTGCATGGCAAGACTTGTCTGACAATAGCAACGCCGACTTAAATCCTGTGGGTTTAAGAGAAGGTAAGGCGGTGTTTCATGGAAATTTTAGGGTATTCTTAAATTCTTGCAAACTATAAAGTCCTACTCTATCAGACAGTGCTGATCATTTCTAAACACTGCTGCTCCTCCATCAGTATGGAAAGGCTGGATCATCAGGCCTACAGCTGTATCTAATTATTCAAGGAATGCAGGGCTTTTGCGAGAAAAAAAACTCTGCAGAATATGGGACGGCTTTCTCAAATCTTTCTCCCCCTTCCCCTTCTCAGCTGAGCTCCTTCGGCAATGCCACAGCCCAGTCTCCGATGAGAGGATGAGAACCTACACCCGCGGGGCGCCCACTGTCTTCTTCATAAGTCTTCTGTGGCCCCTGCTCTCTCCGGCAGCTGTAGCCGAGGTGGACCCCAGCGGAGGAATCCCCTTCATGGGGGGCAACTACAATGGTCATCCCATGCTGTACTTCAGCCGTGGGGATGTGGAACAGCTGCAGTACGCAGCTGCGGGGACTCACCGAGAGATGGCGAGACGAATCCGTGAGGCCGGGGAGACCATGCTAGAGCACCCCGAGGAGTACCTGCCCCCCTGGAGCCCGGCCGAGTTCAGCGCCCGCTGGAATGAGGTTTATGGAAACAACCTGGGCGTCCTGTCCATGTTCTGCCTGCTGTACCCACACAGGGCCGGGGCCCTCGATCTGGTCAAGGACTACATGGAGAGGATGGCAGCCCAGCCTAGTTGGTATATTTTCTGTTGTTTTTTACTTGTGACTGTGACTTGTGACTGAAACTTTTTGTTTACAGTTTACAGATGTTACTTGATATCTCTGCTCCACCCCCACATTTTCATCAATGCAGCATTAATGCTAAACCGCTGCTGTCAGTGGCTTTTTAGCCAGTCCCCTCTCTGGAGTGTTCCGGTGCTTCTATGTGGGAAGACTCGTGGTAGAGATGCATTGTGGGCTGATAAGTCTGTAGTCCAGGAAATATGTTTAGCAGCTGTTCACCCAAACAACCCCCACCCTCACCCCAAGTGAGAGGAAATGAAATATTCAGATGTGGGCTGAATAGTTCAGGCCTGGGTTGTGACTGAAGCTCAGGCTCCAGGTGACCTGACAGGGACTGCCTTCAGTTGTGGTTAGTTCTCCTCTGTATTGCATATCATCAAGCTAAGCTACAGTCATTTCCCTAACCAATCTTTCTTGTATTTCCCATGTTTTCAACTTGGTAATCCAGCTGTGGGAGCTCTTGCTTTAGTATAATGTACACTTCATCCTAGAGAATATGTTTCCATCATATGTTTGCTTCAGTTTACACAAGGTTAAGTAATTCTCAGGGAGTTTTGACGCGACATTTGCCACCTTCGTATGGAACGTATGATTGTGTGGTTATGACATATGCAACCTCAGTGTTTGAGTGCCTGAACAGAGCTGCAGAGTATTCATAATCAGTGCCATAGGGCTCATTATTATCATTGGTTTGAACATGGCAGAGGGATTTTAGCTTTGCTGCATATCAGCACTTTGATGTCAAATTAGGTAAGAATGTATGATGATGACTATTTTGGATGTGCAAAAGAAACCACAGCAACGAGCTGTTTATATCAACTCTGAACACAGCATATATTATCCTAGGTGATGATAGGTTGCTACGTTCTTCAGGCTTTGAAGTTTCTCTAAGTATCAATTCAGTGTTTTTCACAGAGTTACATTCTGTTTGTTGCAGAAGCATTTTGTTTGAGGGTGAACAAAGCCAAATTCATACTTTCCCAAACTACCGTGGCTCAAGAGTTGGGAGTTCGCCTTGTAATCGGAAGGTTGCCGGTTCGAGCCCCGGCTCGGACAGTCTCGGTCGTTGTGTCCTTGGGCAAGACACTTCACCTCCCGCCTACTGGTGTTGGCCAGAAGGGCCGATGGCGCGATATGGCAGCCTCGCTTCTGTCAGTCTGCCCCAGGGCAGCTGTGGCTACAACTGTAGCTTGCCTCCACCAGTGTGTGAATGGGTGGATGACTGGGTGTGTAGAGCGCTTTGGGGTCCCTAGGCGGGACTAGTAAAAGCGCTATACAAATACAGGCCATTTAATAATTAAATATACATATTACTGTCAGTTTTTCAGGTAGAGGTATCCAGGTAGAGTTGGATAGCATTTTTCCCTTAATAAATAAAAAACAAAATTTCATATTTACTCTAGTTGTGAGTGTGGCAAATTGCAAAAAATGAGAAACTAGCAGAGGGGAAATACTTTTCCACAGCAGTGTATCTGTGTTATTTTAATTTAGGAAGAAAACAAACAGAAACTATTTGGTCACAAACAGTTTTTAAGAATGATAACACAGCTAAATGAAAAAGTACTCAAAACCTCTGAATTTAGGCTTTAAATGGTTTTCTTAGCAAACTTAACTGTTTACTGCAGTCAGCATCTTCTTTGGACACTCCACTGCCTTCCTGCTACTGATAAACTTTGTGACTGGGTCATAGCATTTATTTTTTATTCATTCGTATTGTGATTCAACAGAAAGTGTGTTTTTTTGTTTTTTTTTTAATGTCCTGTCACTCACCCTAAACCTGTTGTGGCAGAGGGCTGCCTCTACCTGAGCCTTGTTCTGTCAGAGGCTTCCTTCCTTCCTTCTCACTGTCACCAAGTACTTGCTCAGAGAGGGTCGCGTGATTGTTGGAGTTTCTTCTGTGTCTGCTTTCTAATTTACAGTATTATACGCCTAGAGCTCAAGGTGGTTGCTGTTGTGATTTAGCGCTATATAAACAAATTTTAACTAAATTGAACTTAATTTAAAATGTAAAAAAAAAAAGTGATCTAAGCTAGTCTCTTTCAAATTTTAATTATAACAGTCAAGACTTATTGGCAACCAAAATTCTTAGGGGTAAATTTAGACTAGCCACTCGGAAATGTGTCAGTCTAAAATCGAAATGATATAAACACATGCGTGTCTTATGTTTTTATTTTCCACCTCGCCACATTTCCTACTGTGAGAAAAACATTAGCAAGTCAGCTGAATTCATCCATTCAGCCAATGCCTGGACAATCCTCAGGCTTTTCACAGTCAGCCATGACTGAACTTCATGCCAGTAGCCGTGCTTCCTTATTTCCCTAACAATTCGATTGAGTTCAATGGCCATCAGTTCTGGCTGGCAAATGCAAAAAGGCTGAAAAGTGGATTAAAGTCATTCACCGCTTCCAATTCTACACACATTCTGTTTGAAAGACTAAAACCAATCAGAAGTGATGCTTAAATACTTTCAGATATGGGAATAGTGGCTTCACAATCTTGCAGGAGTCAGGCTCTCTACCTGTATAATATTTGTTAATCATCACCATCTCGGTGCTTGCTTCTCTTACATTTTCAAACAGTTTGCTCAACCTCTGCAGTTTTTGACTGTTAATGGTGTAAACAGTGTTAATATGCAAGATTTAAATCAGCAGGTCCTGCAGGAATGTTGGGATTAGGGAAATTCTTGTGTATAGTTTGAGTTTCCTTTTTTTTACCAGTGGTAGTGGCGTGTCAAGTTATGTATTTCAGTAAACCAAAGAAGCTGGGGAAAAGGAAGACTTAGACTCATTTTGCAGAGCCAATTAAATTGTTTGTAATGTTGCTGCAGATCGCTTTGTGGATACTTGTGAGATAGTCCTCAGTAAATATAGGGTGAATGAAATAGAACCATGTACTTAATGTATTCTAATGTATTCTAATTAGCCAAAAGGTTTAGCAGGACTTAGACATGCAAAAGTTAGCAAAAGAACACAGTTAAATCAAAGTCTCCTCTACTGGTGGTCTTTAGATTTTTATGTTATCGTACTGTGTCACTGTGCCAGTTAAAATGCCCTCTCTGGATCATCATTAGGATGGAAACAGACACCATAGATGTTTTACACCTGGTTCACTTCACAAACAATACATTTGCAATAACAAGTTTTCCAAATTAATATTATACAAATACAAAACAAGCTATAGCAATATTGCAAGTCCTATTGATCAAATCGGCGTAGTGACCGAAGAGTGTGTTTTTTGACTGCTCCAGTTTCTTAGAAATTTCAAAGCAGGTTTTGTGCACCACCCATGATTTTCTTCCCTGCATCATTTCCTCCCCAAAGGACTTCAGATGTGGAGAATAAGTCCATATTTCTAAGCCTAATTTGTCTTTCTTTTTAATTTATTGAAATCAGCATTCAATATTAAAGATGTCAAAATTGATAAATGTGATAATTGACTGTCTTCAACGCGCTACTATACAAATGCAGCTGAAGATTCTTGGCAGTACATGTTCCCAGTGGTGGAACATCATTATCTGTTGTGTCACTCACAGCAGAATTATGTTTCTCCCTTATCTAAACTTGTCAGTCTGTACGTTATAAAGCATTCCTGTTGTTTCATAGGTGCTCAGTGTGACAAGAACAGAAAGAGAATCTCAGGTGAATTCTGCTTTAAAGGAACAGTTTAATCCTTCTCATTCCACTGCACGGTTGCCATGTTCCCTCCAACCACTGAACAGGGCCAGGGGGATTTTCCAGATTGGCATTAGTGCAATTTACAGGGCATTTTTCACAACATTAGGATGTGTGCCACAGTGCAGAAAAGAAAAGCCACTGAGCATATGTTTTCACGTCTTAAGAGCACACTGTGAGTTTTCCACTTGGCCGCACTTTTATTGTGGTCACTGAATCTCTCGGGGCCTCTGCAGAGTGGCTCCAGGAATCAGTCAGCTGTGGTATTCATGACCTTCAATTACGCCTGCAACAACCATGTTCCAATGAAGAGCTTCTACTTTGTGGCAGAATGGTGCCTGCCTCTCTGGTGAGTGTGTGTGTTTTTTTATTGTCATTGTACATGTGTGCCAGAATAAAATAAAAATAATGGAATAAAAATCAAACAAGAGAAATATATAAAATCAAAAGTAGTGTGTTTTGGCATAATTTAATATCAAGTCCAACTCTAAGTTGGCAGTAACTTTTATTCTCTTTTCTTTTTTGTCCTTTGGGCAGATTTCAACATAAAAAAAGCTCTGATTTTCAAATGAATGAATATTCGGTTTCTGCGAAGGCTCAATAGTGTGTGTCCATAGACCACAAAGCAGAGCTAACTATGCATACATAACCACAAAGTTTAGAAGTTTTAATGGGAATTTTTGATCATTTTTGCACAAGTGCATTTCTGAGGTTAGAGACTAATGTGAAGGCCTGGCTCGAAGTCTCTGCTCTAGTTGATCCCAATGGTGTTCTGTCAGGGTTGAGGTGAGGACTCTGTGCAGGCCAGTCAAGTTTTTCACCAAACGGACTCATTCATGTATGTATGGACTTTACTTTGGTGCACAGTGATGTTGGAACAGGAAGTGGCCATCCCCAAACTGTTTCCCCAAAGTTGGTACTCTTATGCTGAAGCATTAAGAGCACTATGCACCTCAGCAGCCGCTGACTGATTTTATGTGGCCTACTACATAAAATCAGTCGCTTTCACTTTGTTACGACGTCACCAACAGTTGACTGTGGAATATTTAATAGTGAGGAAATTTCACAACTGGACTTGTTGCACAGGTGGCATTCTATCACTGTACCACACTGGAATTCCCAGTGATTTTATACACTTTTGTCCATGGAAGTGATTGGAAAACCTCAATTCAGTATAGCAATATAGTGTGAAACTGTCTAATGCACACCGGGCTGCAGGGCAGGGGATACCCCACTGCTCATGCGCCATTTTCAGTCAATGCAAAGAAAAGTATTAAAAGAGTAGGAATATACCCATGTGGCATGATTTTGTTTTTAACTTCAAAAACATTCACTAAATCACCATTAAAAGCACTTGGTAGAAGGACTATGTGATGAAATGTCTAAATTGCACAAAGCAATGAAAAAATTCATGTTGGTTCATATCAGACAACATGTATACAAATGGTAAATACAACAGGATGCATATGTGATCGGTCAGTATTGGCTAACTGCAAATCATTATTCTCCATCCCTTGAACTTTTATTAAATGTGCCTTGAATATATTTTTGTATCTGAAAGTTGAAATCTTTGTAAGTCTGTTCCGTTTGGAATTTCCCCCCCCCTTTTTTTAAAGACTTCCTGTTGCTTTCATGGCGTGCACTTGCAGCAGATTGGACTCTTTGTAGCCTGGTTGCTGACGTTGCTCCAACTAGTACTGGATGTTTTTGTAGACTGCAGATGCCAAAGCTTGAAAAATGAAATTATAGCAGCATTATAAATTTCTGTGAAAGGTAGTACAACTACAGTGAAAGTCAACAAACTAGGCTTGATGGTTAGTCAAATTACCCAAAATGACAGTATTTAGGATGCTACACCCTGTGCTTACTTTGTGTCGCACTGAAGTGGAATGCTGCCTACTGTCCTCTTTTGACCCACTCTCTACAACAGAGGTGCAAACTGATTCAAATTTACACAGGAGGTTTTTTCAGTTGAGATGAACAGATTTCTATTATTTGTTGTTGTTGTTGCTTTAGTGTTTAGTGATTTATCCTTGCAGCTAGACTGGAGGTGATAACAGGACTCTAGTCCGGTTTAGATCTTAAGAGAGACTTTGTGTAGATCTCAGCGCAATCCATGATGGCAATTATTGGCTGTTAAAATGCAGTCCACACATCTGTAGTTGAGCTCTCTTTAATTAACCTGAACTGAATGGTTGCTTTCACTTTTTTTCTCAAAAGTAACACTTTGCAGTTCACACGTCAGCAGTCTTAGATCCAACCTGGAGAGAATCTGCCCACGCTGCATTTCTAATGTCTCGCTTTGTTGGTACACTTGTAATTTTGCTGATAAATCCTATTTAGCGTCTTTATTTTGCTTTCAAGGAGACCAGCCCTTTTACAGCTACTATGTTAATTAAAAGCCTTTGCAAAGGAAGGCTTTCTTGTTCATTAGAAGCCATTTGCCAGGATTTTGTTGAAAAGAGTGAAAATTTCATACTTGCAATTTCTTTCCACTTCCTGATGCTTTCCCTTCTGTTTTGTCCTGATCTATGTATTGCAGGCTTGTTAAAGACGCTCCCTGGGATGAAGTTCCTCTTGCACACTCTTTAGTTGGATTTGCCACTGCCTACGACTTCCTGTATGAGTACTTGAACAAGGGCCAGCAGGAACGTTTCCTGCAGGTGATCGGCAACGCATCACGCCTGATGTATGAGAAGTCCTACGTCCGAGGGTGGGGGTTTCAGTACCTACACAACCATCAGCCTACCAACTGTGTGGCTCTGCTCACAGGAAGTCTGGTTTACATGATGCAGGGTAAGTGTGTGATGATTACGTTTCTGGCTTCGCAGATCAGTTTCTTGAGTTTGTTGCTGTATGTTATTCTCAGTCTGCTGTGCCAGCACACCACAGAATCATAAAACATTTTGAGATATTAAAGAACTTCTCAGGAAAAAGAAATCGTTGGTTTGTTTGTTTTTGAGGCCTTCTGTGTTTTGTCCAGCTTATTGTCAGTGTTCAGACCAAGGTATTTATAATCCTCCACTGTGTTCACACAGACCCCATGAATGGGTTTTTTGCCATGTTCACATGCAGATTTTTCTGTCCATGGTGTAAAAGGTGGAGACAAACAGGGAGAAACAGCTCCTGAAGAAACACACTAACAATAAATGGTCTATAGCAAACATTTATCTACAGTCTTCTGCCAAATTGTGTGATTAAAACACACATTATCTTGATTCCTTTTCTCCTTCGTCACACAGACGATGCCTCTAAAGCATGTTTCAGTGCAATCCTTTGTGCGTTTTGGTTTCTGTTACTTCCACAGTTGTTCCAGCACATTAGTTTCTCCCCAAAATATTTCTGTTGTGTTTTGTATGATTTTTGTATTTCCGTTGGTGCTTTGTGTGCTTTTGCAGCCTTTTCTCTAATTGCTGGTGTTTTCTGCAGATATGCACCGCAGAAAGTTTGCACTAATTAACAGATTTAGGTAGAATCTATTTACTGAACACCAATGATGCTGTCCATTTGTACTTTATTGCTCACACTGGTGATAATTTTGAATTGTGGAAAGAGCCACAAAAAATTCAGTTTTGTTTTCTGTTTTGTGTGCCTTAAATGTTTTTATGAAGAAATATTTTTCCACAAATAGTTTGGAAGTTGGAGAGAAATTCTGCAAACAAAGCAAAATGCAGCCTGACTAGAAGATTTTCATTTGTCTGGATTTTGTTGAAGGGATTTAGTCAAACATGGTCCAAAGTCTGATTCTGGGAATTCTTTAGGGGGATGGGTTACACTAACACATGATCAATTGTTTTGTTTTTTTACACAAATGTGAGATATTGAGACATTTCATGCTGTCATGTCTTCCACTTAATCTGCTTCCATGATGTTTTTCTCTCAGTCTGAGCCTCTGATCATGTAGGTAAACGTCACTTCCACCGTCTTGGAAGGCAGATGGAAAATGTATGCACTGAATTCTTGTTCTGCACAACTTTGTAGTAGCACATAAAGCAGTACTAGACCTGCTGCAGGTTCCTGTTAGAGTAGAAGGACTGCCATGTAGACAGAGTCAATGTGGAATCTATCCAGCAGCTGGGCAAAATCACCTTTGGGTAAGCAACTGAATGATA